TTGAAAATAATCTCTATGAATTTTTTTATTAACTTATTAACATTTGTTGTTTTCTAATTAGAAAACATAAAAAGATTAAAAGCACCAAGAAGGAAATGAAAATTACATCACCCACACATAACCAGTTATTACAATTTTAGTGTATATACTTCTATTATTTCTAAACAATAATAATTTTTTTGCCTTTGTGATCATAGTAGACCACGTGGCATATACAGTTTTGCAAGCTGCTCTGTTTACCTAATATGACTTTTTCCCCATATAATTTAACATTCTTAGAAAAAACATTGTTTTCAATGGCATTATAATCTTCTATCAAATGGATGTATTATTTATTCATCCAGTTTTCTATTATTTGCCAGTTCAGTTGTTCTTAATTTTTTGCTATTATAAAGAGTGCTGTAATTAACATATTGATATATCAACCAATATTTATTTTCTGATTATTTTCCTTAAATAAATTCCTAGAGGGATTTCTAGGTCATGCTAATAAACATGCCTAAGAATTTTGATACCTACTGCCAAATTGTTTTCTAGGAATGTTTCAGGAGTTTATGCCCCCATAAGTAGCTACTGAGAATTCCCGTCTAACTGTTGTATACATGAAGATATCAACAACACTGCAACAAAATCCAGTGATTTAAAAACATATATTTACAGGTTCAACAGAAGAAAAATGTTATACCCATATTTTAATTTATATATTTTTAATTACTTGTTGAGGTGATTACAATTTGTTTTATGTTATCACTTATTGGTCATCTCTGAATTCCCTGTCTTTTGCTATTTTTCTATTATATATATTTTTCATATTGATAAAAGCTTTTTACTAAGTAATAAGGGTATTATGTATAACTTTATCAGATTTATTATAAGAAATTTCCAATTTACTATTGTGTCTATGGAGTTTTTTAATGTATAGAAAGTAATACATTTTATAAGTTTGTTCATTGCTCTTAATGCTCAGATAGTCCTTTATCATCTTAAGCTCATATAAAGATTCACCTGCTTTTTCTTCTAATTTTTTTGCAGTTGTGTAAATTTGAGTGAAGCTATTTTCTCTGCTTTATTTGTTAGCTTACAATTATCTTAGCTCTATTCACTGACTAATCTTTTTCTCTCCCTTCTGAGTTGGAATACCAATGTTATGCTAAAATCTTGCGTATACTAGCTTCTGCTTTTAAGTTATATAAAGTATTACTTTTAAAATTATATAGATTTAAATTTTAATATCTGAAAGAAGTTGCCCATTGTTGTACTTTATTGTGAGATTTTACTTGAATATTCTTTCCTGTTGACCTTTACAGATAAATTTTGGAATTACATTTCAACATCATAAAATCATCCTATAGGATTTTGACTGTAGTTGTATTAGACTATTAATTAATTTCATAAGAATTTACACCTTTTACATTATTCAATTTCCACAACTAGGCTGTGATATATTTTTTACATATGTAAAAAATATACATAAATTAATGTATATTTTTATACTTACTTTTATATATTTTATATATAAATATATATATAAATATGTATAATATGCTTATTTTATATATGTAAAAAAGACTTATGTATAAGTTTTTTTTCTTGTCCATCAGTGAAATTTTAATTTATATATAATATAATATATATATAAATATATATTATATGCTTATTTTATATATGTAAAAAAGACTTTTGTATAAGTTTTTTTTCTTGTCCATCAGTGAAATTTTATTTTATTTTTTTACAAGGTCTTAGATTTTTAAATGATTGTTATTTCTAGTTAATTTTGTTTTGGGGATAGATTTTCCCTGACTATTTTCAAAATGCCTATTTTCATTGAGCAGATAAACTATTAATGTTTTAACATTCATTTTGTATTTGGACACTTCGTTGCTTTATTTTTGTTAATTTCTCACTTGATTCACCTAAGTTTTCTAAGAATAAGGTCATATTAAATTCACATGATGGTGATTTTTGCTTACTCCTTTAAAATAACTGTTTCTCTTATTCTGATTTTATGTTTTATTGCATTGCTTATAATCTTAAAATTAATGCTTAACAAACAAAAAGAAGGAAACAGCATCTGTTGTCTTCATGAATGATAAGAAAGAAGGCTGGGTGTATTGGCCCATGCCTGTCATCTCAACGCTTTGAGAGGCCAAGGTGGGAGTATTGATTGAACCCAGGAGTTCAAGATCAGTCTGGGCAACATGGTGAAACCCTGTTTCTACAAAAACAAAAATTAGCCAGACATGGTGATGCATGCCTGTAGTCCCAGATATGCAGGAGATTGAGGTGGAAGAATCACCTGAGCCTTGGGAAGTCAAGGCTGTAATAAACGTAATAAACCCTAATCATGCCACTGCATCACTGCACTCCAGCCTAGGTGACAGAGTGAGACCTTGTCTGAAAAAAAAGAAAGAGAAAGAAAGAATTCTTTGGTTTTCTTTTTTCTGCCCACCTCTGTTTTTGGCCACCCTGTTTTTGGTCATGTTTCACATTTTTTTTTCTCTATGAAGACTTACTTTAAAAGTTTAATTCATTTATTTCCTGAATACTTTTGTAGCAGGCGTATCATGTTCTAATAGTCTTAATACTCAACATCAGTCATTTTATATTAGGTCTTTCCATAGTCAAGGAATTTGATTCCTTTCTTAGTAATCCAAAATATATGTGTGTGTGTGTGTGATATGTCTTCTGAGGACATCGTTTGTTTCCTTTAACCGTAAATTGTAACTTGGCTGGATATAGAATTCTTATGTTAAAATCTTTTCCCCTAAAAACTTCATAATTTCATAGATTTTGCTTCATTTTCTTTGGTATTCAGTGTTACAGAAAACAGAGTATAAATATAACTGAATTTTTTTCCCATGCTTGAAATCCATACTTTTGCTCTGTGATATTTAAATCTTAGTCATATTGTTCATAAACTTTGCCTTATCCTAGGTCAGCCTACTTCACCTGAAGGCATGGATCTTTATTTGGAACAGGAAAGTTTTCTTCTATTTTTTGATAGTTGCTTAAGTTTAATTTATTCTAGATTCTTCTCCAGTAACACCAATAATGTATGGGTTTAATATCTGATATCTTGACATTCTAGATGTTTAACTTTCTCATACATTTTATCTTTTTCTTTTTCTGTATCCTGTGAGATTTTCTACACCTAGTCTGCCCTAATACTGATTTGAATTTCTGTAGTATTGAGTCTTCTTCTTTCCTACCTTCTCTCCTCTTGTCATTCAGCTCTCTCTTCATCCTTACTTGAAATCCTATTTCTTCTCTCAGTAGCATCTATACAACTTTGGTTATGATATTTAACCTCTTTGTCCTCCATTTTTCTCATCAACAAAAGGTGGATGATAATTATGTCTACAGAACAAAATTAGATTGTCCTTGAGAACTTTTAGAAAAATACCCAGCCCCTAAAAACGTGTCAATACATTTTAGTCAATATTACTGTTATCAGCAGCCTCAGCGTCTCTCCTGTATCTGAGCAATACTTCTTTCCTTTAAGCTGTGGTTATCTCATTTCTCTGTGTATGTGTGTGTGTGTGTGTGTGTGTTTATGGAAGTCATAGCTTATTGAATTTGGGGTGAACACAACACTGATACTCTTTAAAATGTACTAATGCAGTAAATCTTTTTTAAAATCTTCACCTTGAGTATAATGTACTCCTTTTTATGTTGTAGAATATTTTCATAAACCTCACATTGTTGCTGTTGTTGATTTTTATATTTGTATTTCCTTGTACAAGGAAAGGTCTTTTGATAATAGACAGAATAGCTTAGTTCTCTTTGCTGTCAGAATCCTCCCTCAATGCTAAGTTGAAGGATTGGTTTATATGCAGAGTATTTAATCAAATTGTTTCTGACTAGCTGTTATTTGGCAGGAGTGGGGCTGCATTTAAGACCACTCTCCTGTTGGTCTTCTCTGACTATCCCATTCTATACAGGGGAATATATTTTTGGATAATTTCAATTATCATTAAATTCAATCAATTCGTCCCTTACTCAAAATACTGAGTAAAAAGCTGCACTTTTTGAATTGCATCACCCCATCACTCTTCTTGTCTTGGTTCGTATTATTGATGCATTTTCCAGAGGCTGGCCATCACATACCTAGCCCGGACCCCTGCCATGCTGCCTTGTTGTGAGTTGTAGCCTCTTAACAGATCTATATACAGAAATATTAGTGGTGATTTCGGGGGCTGATGTGGACTTGGCACCTGCAGTTTGGGGGAACAGGCTTTTGGCTCTCTAAAAGGTGAAAGTCATACGAGTAGTTATGTAGAAACCTCTCACTTTCTTCTTGCTTGCTTTTATTATTTTGTTTTAAAGTTTTATTCACATTTTAAAGGATTTGCCCTCAAGAGTCTGGCAGCATGGTTGACTAATCTTTCTAGTACCATTGACGCTGTTTCTGTACATGTGTTTTTATGTGTATTCAAGAAAAATTGAGAGAAGTTTAATAAGGCTTTTCTAGAAAGCTTTAAAATGTATCAGTTAAAAACAAAAGACTTTTTAACCATAGAATCATTCAGCCAGTGAAGTCTTAGACCAAAATTTTCATTTTATCATTGAGGACACTCTTTTGAAGCAAAATTACCTTTCTGAGGTCATAAACGGGAGCGAGCCTGGGTCTCCTCACCTTTTGTCATTCTAGTTCCTTAGTCATTTAAAAAAATGTTTTAGCTATTTTGAGAAGTCCAGATTTTCAGTCCAGTGCTTATCATATTTAGGAATTTCTTATAAAGCGAGAAGACTTCTTCCATGGAAAAATACAGAACTATAGGGTTAACTTTGCTGGAGAGTCCAAAAGCTCCTCATTGTTTAAACACTTTAGGGAACACTTGTGGACCCTTCTTCCCATGCCTTCTGTACCTATGTCTAACAACTATTAGTGGGCAAATAATCAAACTGGGATAATCGTTCTCTTAGAAGAGTTGGTTCTTTGATACATGATTATATTGTGCCATTCCATATTCAAATGTGGCTGTCTCTCTGTGTCTCAGCTGCTAGAAGACTGCTCCTCTCGTCTCAAAATGACCCACCCAGCCAGAGCACTGTACACCCCCAGTGGTGAGCCAATTCAGTCCTGGAATGACATAGAGCGAGATATGGTCATCTGTGTGTCTATGGGACGTGGTTTCAGAACCCCAAAAGGTATGTGTGATAGTTTTTTTTTCCATCAAGTAATTTAAGAATTAAAACAATCTTCTCTTCAAAGAGCTTATGTGTCCCATCACGATGATTTTGAAAAATTATCCTCCCCCAAGTGTTTCTATTCCATGTTATAGAAGTTAAATTTACATATTTGTGTGCTGGAACCTCATGTCAACACTGTTGCATTGAAGAACTCAGTCAGATTTCAGTTAATCTTGAACCTTATCCAGGGGCCTTATTTGCAGAAATACTGAGAGCCTCATTTGAAGGTATTCCCCTAGTATGAACACTGAGGAAAGTGAGACTCCACTGATTTCCTATTTTCCAAATGATTTAAAACTTAATGTTTTATTAATAGTAATTATATGGTTTGCAGTTTCTTTTCTTTAGTAATAAGTAAATATATTCTAGAATTATTATCTTGTCTATTTCTTGGTAATTTTCTTTGATAAATGGCAGAAATTGAAAATAACATATATTTGTTATTGAGTGAACTCTAGTTCTTTATCCTATGTATCCTGATGGATTAAAAGCCTGTTTTTGTAGGTAGGCATATATTAGCAAAGATATAATTTTCAGGAGATTCCGAAGAACATTGTTACCACTCTAAAGGAAACTAAAAGGTTAAGTAATGAATTGCCTGGTATCCCTATAATAGTAACAGTAGATATTTTCTTTTAAGAAGTCACCATAAAATTATTATTACTCTGTTATATGTAATGTAGGCAAACCAAAAACTTCTAAAACAGTTGCAATCATATCTTTACATTTAGCCCAGAAGGGACAAAAGGATAGAAATGGAGACCAAAAAGTAGGAAGACAGGATTTATTAGGATGCCTAGCACTGTTCTGAGGGAAGCCACAAATATTCCTCCTGCACATCATGGATGAGGCTCCAGTCCTTTTATTCTTTTTATTTTCTGCGGCTCCCATCACCCATCACTACCCCTCACCCTGGTTCTTGGTAACCCTCACTACAGGGTACTTATAAGAACACATCAGTGATGAGGTTCTTATTATCAGCAAGTATTTGTTAGTAGTTTTCCGTATCCACAAAATACATAGCTTATAAAATAAACGTAAGCTAGGCTCCTTTCCTGAGAGTTTTCAATCTAATTAAGAATATGAACACAAATGAAATAATTACAGCACAGTTGAGTAGTCAGCAAACAAGTGTGCATTTGGAGGTGCCTTCCGAGTCCCTTCATTATCTAGGTTTAGACTTTCATATTCCTGGGATGGACTTCTGTTGCCTGTACCACACCTTCCTTGCAGCCTTGTGTTCATTGAGCCTGTGTGATAAATAAAGCTAAAAATACTTCAGGCAAGCTAGCCAAAAGGGTATCCAATCACAGAGAGAGATGTCGGCTGCCTTCCCAGAAGCAAGCTCGTCAACAATAAAAACTGTGAATGGAAGAGAAAAAAAATTGGAAATGCAAATATTACTCTTTCTGCCATTTTCCTCCCCGTTAGCTCTGTGTATCTTTCATAAAGCTTTGGAGACAAATGTTCATTTTTACATCTTCAACTATGTAAATACATAGATTGCATCGTATGAAAGTTTATTCCTTTCCTATGACAGTAGGTTCCCCATGTTACCTTCATGGTAAGAGGATTAGTGGTTTCCTCTATTGTCTTAGTTCTTTCCAGTGAGTTATATGTGTTCTAGGAAATTACAGGAAATCTCTGATTTAGTTTAGAAAAGTCTGATTTAGTTGTTTTTTAGAAACTTATTTTACTGTTGCCATTTTATTGTTTTTCCTGAAATAATTAAGTTAGTAATAATAATTTTTTAGAAATCTAAATATTCGGAGTGCTTTAAAAAAGAAAAGATAGAAATGCAACTACATGCATAGACCTATTAAGGGACATTTAATTAATTAATCATTCCATTCATGATTTTTCTGTGACCTACTGGTTTAAGTATTTAGGAAGAAAATAAAGCAGTCTGGGAGTTTCAAAACCACTCTAAAAGAACTTATTTATGCATTATAATGTCAAAAAACATTCAGTATGTGAAAGTTAGTCATCAAAGAATGAAATCAGGTTTTTAAAAAAATCAATTGGATTTGGCAAAACAAACCCAGTTGCTACTAGAATGGCTTATTTCACACAAACCCCTGACAAGATTTAAAGGGTGCTTTATGCCATTTGGTATATAATCTGAACACTGTTCTCACTGCTGCTTTCTATCTTTTCATTGTCCCAATTTTTAGACCAGCCTGAGGTTAGCTTCCAGTTCAGGCTTTGTAATAAACCTGGAAAGAAGTCCTCTCTAGCAATTTCCATTCTCTAGAAATCCAAAGACTATTAACACATATCTGATGTGATAAGAAGTCAAAAGTGTAATGAGAGAGCCCAGGGTGGGAGCCAAGAATTTTTAAGGGGTCTTCAAGTTTTTCATCATCCTAGACTTTTAATTATTTTCCATGACATTGACTTGTTCCTCAATTTCTTGTTTTTGACAGAGCTAAAACAATTGATGGAAATCAGAGCAAATTATGCCAGAATCCAAAGGCAGCAGTGTCCTCAAGCCACAGATATTGTGGTGTCACCATCCACGAAGCTGCTGTCTCTGGCACATCTCCACAATTAACTCCTATCAGAACCATCATTTTCTGCTGTATTTTGCTGGTATAGCTATGTGCACATACTCATATGTTTGTTATGACATTATGATTATTTATCTCTTTTATATTTATGCAGTTCCCTCCTCTTTCTTTTCTGAGACAGGTTCTTGCTCTGCCGCCCAGGCTGGAGTGTAGTGATCATGATCCCAGCTTACTGCAGCCTCGACCTCCCTGGGCACACATGATCCTCCCATCTCAGCCTCCCAAGTAGCTGGGACTATAGTCATGCAACCCCATGCCCAGCTAATATTTGTATTTTTTGTAGAGATGGGGTTTTGCCTTGTTGCCCAGGCTGGTCTTGAACTCCTGAGCTCAAGTAATCCTCCCACCTCAACATCCCAAAGTGCTGGGATTATACGCATGAGCCACTGCACCCAGCCCTATGTGATATTTTGTAAAGGTTATTACCCTTTGCATTTTACATAAAGTGACATTTGATGCCTCAAATTTGTTCCTGGGAAGACAACAAAACTAGACAAAATAATGCCAGACAAATAACTATATTAGGTGTATTTTCTTCCACGAAAAAAAGGAGACTACTAGTTATTAGTGAAATATAATTTCACAGGGTCAAATGGCTTATGTAAATGCTTTTTTATGTATAATCAAACATTCCATCAAACATTCCAATCCACGTATGGAATATTTGATGATACAAAAAGACTCTGACCACTAAACACTAAATTTGACCCTAGCTGACATTTTCTGGCTCAGCCACCATATTTTCCAGACCTCCATATTAAAAAAGTTACTGAATAGTGAAATGGATGGTGGCCACCAAATGCCACACAAATCAATCCTTTCTCCTACAATTTCTCATCAGTTTCAATTGTAGTAACAGTGCAGGACTTTTTATGGGGTACAGTTAGATTCTGTTCATGAGAGTAAAGCTTGGTAATTCCCAATATTTGCCCAGTGATAAAAGTCATAGACTATGTCCTCAATACAAAAACTTAGGGAAAGGATATATGCACTATTTAAAAGAAAAATTATGGAAGGGTTATTTTTTAAAAAGAAATCAAGGGAGATACCTAGCATTCTTAGGTATCAATCCTACAGAAAGGCAAGAATTTACAAGAAGAAGAAAGAACCATTAAAAAAAAAAATAACAGCGACAAATCAGAGTTTAGTTTCTGCTTTTGGTGACAAATTTCCAGAAAAATGCTCTTCTTCCCTGTCTTCCTCTGAAAACCACTCACAGCTCTGTATGAATATAAATTGCACTCTGGCTAGGTGTGTACAGAACGGCTCAGCTGGGCTCACTTCTCAATCCTCCACTTTAATGTGATGCAGGAAGGCAGTATATCATTTCTACTGAAGGGGGCTCTTGGTAATCGCTGCAAAAGGCCTAGTATTTACTCCCAGTCTGCAAATCAGTAGGGCTGCATGAATAAATTCCTGCTGCCTCTGACACCACTAAAAAGCAAAGCACATTGAGGTGAAATCACATGTTACATCAACAGCAGTTTGCCCTTTTATAGACATTTTCTCTGTGTGTTGTGTGATGTTAGAGATGAGAAGGCATTGCAATGCAGTTGTGTGCCATATAGGAGATAAAGATTGCATGTGACTTCTATTTTTCTTTCTATCTTTTTTTTTTAAGCAAGAAAGTCAAAACAAGAAGAGTTAAGAGACTTGCTCCCCATTGGAAAGGAAGCCAAGAGGACTCTTGCCAGTTGGGCCTCTCCCTAGAATGACTCAATCACAATCCCTCTACAGACAATTTTTTTTTTTTAATTCCTTGAAAACAAAGGCATTTCACTAGGTGCAAAAGTACCTATCACTTTCCTGCCAGGGATAAGTTGATTTGCTATGAAAATGGCATAATTTCACCCTGGATCAAATGTGCAAATTCTTGTGAAGTCTTCACTGTTGCATGTGAATACGCCTGAAGCGAAAATTGGTAATATCACACAATGCTGTATCAAGCACCAGGAGACATAAGGCAAAGTCTTAACTGAACTTTTCTATTACTAGTAAATGGGATTTTAGATGTAATGTAACAGTCATCAACACATCACATTTTACCAGCAAGGCAGCGACACTGTAGACAACAGCTAGCCCTGGGTATCTTGGTACTTCATAGCCACTTTTAGCTTTGACTGAAAACGCCCCTGCTTCTTCCTCACTCTTGACCTTCTTCTTTGGTTGGCTGAAAGGTGGACTGGGGAGCAGTTTCTCTATCTTCAGCAAGTACCGTAGGATAAGACCATTGCAATTCTGCTCAGCCATTCTAGGCTTTTAATAAACGCAGTAATTTCCTTTGGGAACATGTTTATCAAATTTGAATCAGCTTCATATATATAAGTCAGATTTCAGTATTTTTCTATCAACTGAAAATGATTTATTATTAAACACTAAAGCAACCATCCCTAAGTCCATGGCCTTCTCCGAAAATTTATTTCCTGCTGGTTCACAAACACCCTTAAGGTGATCCAGATGTTAATCAACAGTGTAGAAGCATTTGGGATTTTCCTCAGGAGAACTGAATTTTTCTGCCCACCTCTCTAGCTGTTGTTGCCTGATTAGGTGTTGGGGTAAAGTTGCATGTTTCTAAGCAAGTAAACTAAAATCAGTATGCCTGAAAGTATGGCATTCTTTCTGGAATTAACAGTATTTATAAATCAGAAGCATTTTATCTGGGTGCTTATAGAAGCTTTGTAAACAGGATATATTAGTAATGATTCAAAATGCAAAGGTAGCTTTGAAGGGCAATCATCCTAAATTTCTGTTTTTTCCTTGATTGTTTATCATAACTAAATATTATTTTGTTAATTAAGAAAACAAAGCAACAATCAGACAAATAACAGCAGAAGGATAAATATAAATTTGTTCTCTTTTGTCAGAGACTCACTTAGAAATTGTGGCTGGTGGCTGTTGCAGCATTTGTGAGCTAACCTTCAATAATAGCCCAGGTGTGCTGAGTGTCATTGAGAGATTCGTTATTCACCATGGCAGCACTTTTTTTTTTTTTGAATCATTTGGAAGTGAATGATCAAAACACACAAATGTGCATTATTCCAGAACATCACAAAATCAGATGCAAATGTCCCCAGTGACGGAAAATTTAGACCCAATGGTGATTCTCAGTTGTTTTTATTGAACCACTTGTTCTGGTTCTCTCTTGGCTTTGAACGTACCTCAACCCTGTGTCCCCTCCACCAGGCTGGGTAAGTGGAAAGAAAGAGTAGCACTTTTGTTCTCAGCACAATAAATTAAAATTCTGCATAAATGGCATGTTTTGGGGCTGTGTGGCCATAAGCAACTACAAAGCAAGATCAACAAAGACCACTCAGGCAAAAGTTGATGAAAGTAAATTGACTGTGTAACTGTAGATATTCAGTGCATGTTTGCTTCCAGCTATAGCATTTTCTAATTCTCTGAGTCTGGAATATGCAACCACTAGCAATAGACTATCACCCTGTATGTACCAAATGTGTAAATAGAAATATAAGAGGAAAGAGAAAATGCATATGCCCATGATGCAACTGGGATGAAGGAGAGAGGAAGAAAAGAGACAGGAAATTTTATATCTGTGGCAAGTAAAATGGTGATTCTGAATTGGATGTGCTATTGCTCATTGTCGGTGCTATCCCTCTGTGGGCTTGCAGGTAGATACAAGCTTCAGTTGAGCTGCTGGACTTATCAGGTCCTAGCTTGTCTGTCCTAGAGCAGTAATTTCAACCTTGGAAATTGATATTACGGTTTTAGCTCAGGTACAGATGCTCAGGAATGTCAGCTCTGTCAGCAACCGAAGCAACTGGGTGGTCATCTCTAGGTGCCACCACTGGAAGCTGTGTTTTAAAGGAAATTTCCCAAAGGGTGCTGTCATTTACTCTGCAGACTATGCTGGAGAGAGGTGGAGGAGAGGAGGGAACTTCCCAGGGCTCCTAGGTTAGTGCCTCTAAAAGTGTAAAATCTGATTATATCTCTGTTCTTGTTTCCATCACTTTTTATTCCTCTTCCCTCCTCCTTCTCCCTCCCTGCCTTTTGGCCTTTTCTCCTGTCTTCCTGGCTTTTCTCCTCTAAGAGTCTTTAAATCCAATCTTTCATTTAAAAAGAAAAAACTCTTTCCTGGAACAATTTGTGTATTGGCAAGAGATGCTACCTTCATGTGATTCTCAAATTTTAGTGTGCACAAGAATCACCTGGTATGCTAGATAAAATAAAATCACGTGGTATGCTAGATTTCCAGGCTTGATCCCAGCACTGGTTGTAATCTCTAATACCTGAAGTGGCATAGGGAATCTGCATTTTAACAAGCATCTGGGAAGAAGTGTAGTCCTTGGCCACAGTTTAAGAAACTTTGCCAAGAGTTTTGGGCCCACCAAGGACAGCGCTGTTTATTATCAGCAGGGAATGGCCCAAGTGGTAAGAACCAGTTTCAAGAACAACGCCTGTATTCAGGGGCTATGAAGACAATGAAACATTTGCTTTGTATGAGAGTGTTTGAGTCTAAGTATACTCATGATTTTTTCGTCACAATTCCCTTAAGAAATGATGGAAATGTTCTTGAGTCAGAACTAACCACCCAGAGATTTTAACTAGGACCCAGACATTGGAAGACTAAACAAGTGAATCTGAGATGCTGAAGCTTACCATGTTCATTAAGCTGCCTTCAGTGCTGGTAAAAATCTTGCTATTTTAAAGGTCACAGGAATAATATCAGTGCTGTGGTACATATATCAAGGAGCAGAATACTTTTGAGAGTGTGGAAAATAACCAGCTTCCTGGAGTTTTCTTATATATTTTTACATATACAAAGAAGGAGAACTTTGGAACAGGACAATATTTCTATTTTCCATCATTGCTCTTTCTCCAATGAATGAGCTACTTCGTAGGGAAAAGGCTGAACCTCTTTGTTCTGTTTGCTCTAAGTCTAGTTAACATGGAAGTCCGAGCATGAGCACCTGTATCCCTGGCAGGCTCACCCAACGGTGTGAAAATCCACAGGATATTATTTCAGTTCAGTAACAAATTCTCTTGGAAAAATTAATTTTCAAA